CAGTAGAGAAACTGAGGTCATGCCTATGTTTGCTGTTAAGAGATGAACATAAGTCTTCAGCTTGGAGTACACTCCTCTTCACAGGTTTCATGAAATGTGAGCATTGGCTACCTATCAACAAAATTACTCTGAGCTGACATACCAAAATGCATTTCCTACTCCTGAAATTCAGCCAAAACACCAGGTTACCCCAAACGTGACAAAACAGATAGGCTTTTCTGTTCTCAGAAGACAGATCTTTGCTAGCTGAGCCACTGAGGACTAATTGAAGTGCACGGAGAAGACTTGCTTTTCCCATTCTCCTACTTACGGGAAAGTCTCCATGCAAATAAATATCAGCAATGTAAGTGAAAAGTTTTATTTATCTGTAAGGTCAGATCCAATACTGAGCTATTCCTTACCTGAACAGAATACACTGTCATACCAGTGACCAGTTCATGGAACATCATTTGAGTTTCAAAGAAACAAAGGCTGATTCTCTTAGTCAAAGCTTAATCTGCCTTTCTTTTTTGTTTAACAGGAAAGCTACATTATTATTGTCAGTTGTATGTAATCACACATATCACAAATATTCATACAACTAAAGTAACACATGATTTGCCAAATTACTCTTGCTGAAGTATGGGACAGTGATAGATTTGAAATTAAATGTGACAGTGCCTTTTGCCTCTGTTAAAGACTATCTTCAGATAGTCAGCAGGCCTTAAAGAATATGTGATCACTAATACGCACTGATTTTTATTTGGGGGATGGGTATCCACTGCTTATCACTCTTGGAAAGCTCCCGCTGAAATGGACACAACTATCTGAGCTGAGAATATTGGCACACAACCGAAACTGGAAAGGTATCTTGGGATTAAATGCTGCATTGAAAATCACATGCCAGCTTTTTCTTTTTTAAAACCACAATACAAACTGAAGCTGATTTTTTATTTCCTATGATAAATATCACAGAAGCACATTCATTCCTATTACTTAACAACAGAACCTATAACCTCCCGCTGATTTCTTTATCCATTTCTAAAGCACAATTTACAGTCCTACATTGCAGATAAGGGTGTGCTGCTCACAAGATTAAAGTCAAGGTCACATATTGTGCATACGCTGCTGCCTGTGAAACAGGGATCCATTTCACAGACTCCACATATATTTTTAGAAGGGGCTGCTCTAGCCACCGGCTAACAGCCCTTGAATTACAAAAGTAAAGATAAACTTTGGTTTAAAAGGTGAAATGTAAGGCTTCTGTGACAAAAAAGACAGACCCCTGCTGATTCAAGGAAGTAAAGTAGTTCCTCTTATCCCTTCCCAAAACCTGAAGGGAAAATCTCCAACACACATATTGAGAGACTAACTTTACTTCTGATGGAGCCAAGAGTGAAACTCCTGCAGACTTTGATAAGACCACCAGTAGACCACCTCTGAAAAATCCTAGCTTTATAGTATGTCCAGCAACTGGTGTTCCCTACAAGCATCTGTAGTACCTTCTCAACAGATACTTGTGCAATTATTCACACTAGAGCTATAACAAGAGCACAAGCCCCATGCAAGTAAAGGTTTATAACACAGAAAAGGTTTCTGAATTCCCCAGAGAACACCATTTGCACAAGATGTCCTTGGCAGATGCCACCAAATATGAGGAAGAAGTAATTACATTGATAAGCAATAATTATTATTATCACATGCTCCTCATACAAAGATGACACTTCCAAAATTGAGCATTAGGCTTAACTCATGGGGGGAGAGGGACTCTAAAAAATTCTGTTCACATAAAAAGTGAGATGCAATATCTGGATTTTTATCCAACTTTAACCACAGAATCATAGAATAGTTAGGGTTGGAAAGGACCTTAAGATCATCTAGTTCCAACCCCCTGCCATGGGCAGGGACACCTCACACTAAACCATATCACCCAAGGCTCTGTCCAACCTGGCCTTGAACACTGCCAAGGATGGAGCATCCGCAACTTCCTTGGGCAATCCATTCCAGTGCTTCACCAGCTCCCCTGTCTAAGTTTGAACCCATTACCCCTTGTCCTGTCACTACAGTCCCTAATGAAGAGTCCCTCCCCAGCACCCTTAAAGGCCCCCTTCAGATACTGGAAGGCCGCTATGAGGTCTCCACACAGCCTTCTCTTCTCCAGGCTGAACAGCTCCAACTTCCTCAGCCTGTCTTCACACGGGAGGTGCTCCAGTCCCCTGATCATCCTCGTGGCCCTTCTCTGGACTTGTTCCAACAGTTCCATGTCCTTTTTATGTTAAGGACACCACAACTGCACACAATACTCCAAGTGAGGTCTCAGAGCAGGGTAGAGGGGCAGGACCTGCTGGTCGCGTTCCTTTTGATGCAGCCCAGGCTACGGTTGGTTTCTGGGCTGTGAGCACACACTGAAACCGGCTCATGTTCATTTTCTCATCAACCAACACCCCCAGGTCCTTCTCCACAGGACTGCTCTGAATCTCTTCTCTGCCCAGCCTGTAGCTGTGCCTGGGATTGCTCCGACCCAGGTGTAGGACCTGGCACTTGCCATGGTTAAACTTCATGAGGTTGGCATCAGCCCACCTCACAAGTGTGTCAAGGTCCCTCTGGATGGCATTCCTTCCCTCCAGCATTATCAATCGAACCACACAGCTTGGTGTCATCGGCAAACTTGCTGAGGGCACACTCAATCCCACTGTACATGTCAGCGACAAAGACGTTGAACAAGGCCGGTCCCAACACCAGTCCTTGAGGGACACCGCTTGTTACTGGTCTCCAACTGGACATTGAGCCATTGACCACAACTATTTGCATGTGGCCATCCAGCCAGTTCTTTATCCACCAAGTGGTCCATCCATCAAATTGATGTCTCTCCAATTTAGAGACAAGGATGTCATGTGGGACAGTGTTAAACGCTTTGCACAAGTCCATGTAGAAGATGTCAGCTGCCCTGCCCCTGTCCATCAGTTCCGTAGCCCCACCATAGAAGGCCACCAAATTGGTCAGGCGGATGGAAATGATGGAGATGATGGAAATGATGGAAATGATATATGAGGCATGCCCCAAATAGACAAAGCAAGGCATTACTATTAGCTACCTACAAATAAAGTTCATTCTTTTTTGCCTAGTGGAACTAGTTAAGCTTGCTCTTTACTAGAAGAGATTAAATTGCAGCATCTTTTTACATCAGGGAAACACCCAGCAGAGACCAACCTCATGAACAGCTACAGGTTCCTTGGTGAATCATCATTTGTACATTCAGGACTCACCTATAAAGCTGACCCAAGGCCATCAGAGGTGTAAAACTCCTACCTCATCCCCCAGCCTGCATGTTCTAGAATGTCACTGGAAATGCTTAAGTAGTAAATGCCTGAAAGGTCCGCTAATTTTTTTATAAGTCACTTGGAGAAGGTGCTTTACTATATAGAAATACAGAATAGTAATATATAATAGTAATTGCTGCTGCTAACCCATACGTCAGCCACCTTTCCTTTGCCTTCTTTCAGCAAGGCAGCAAAGAGCTAGAGCTTTAAGACACCACCATCAATGTGTCTAGACCTTCAGCAAGTGGGGATACAGCTACATGGCTAAATAAAAGGATGCCAAGGAATAAGTATGAACAACATGTTTCTCATCCACACTGCTCTGCTGTCAGCCACTTCCTGGACTCTGTCTTGGACTACTCCAACTGGTCAGCTGTGAGACAAACAGATGTGTAAGGCAGGGGACACTTAGCCTTACACTCTTGGCCCAGGAATCTGTCTCCAGACACCTTTCTTGTGGCATTACTGGTAACACTTGAAGATGCAAGTTTGTGACTACAGATATACCCCTGTTTTTACAACAAAAATCCCATAAAGGACACCACATGTAAGTACAGCAATCAGTTAAGGACATCGATCTTCTTCAAGAAGATCGATGTAAACTCCTAAGGCTCTGCTTTTGCAGTGACCTCCATTGGGATCCCTGGCTGACATACCAGCCACCATTCCTTAGCAGATATACTTTGCTTCAAAACTGGGGAGCCTCACAATAAATGTGCCTGATCCTCAGGTGCTGTGAAAAGTCATCTGCTTAAACATCCAAACAATGTTTCAGTTAACTGTTTCAGTTACAAATAACCAGTTTTCAGAATCCTGCCCTGAATGTAAGGACAAGCAGTTTCTTGTTAGCAAACTTTTGGTGATGCAACTGGTTATGACAAATAGCAGACTGTGAAATTAACTTACTGAATATTAAAGTTCCTTGAACTGTTGCTTGTAAATAAGTTTTTCTTTCCACATCCCTTCAAAGGCAAAGTGAAACTCCATTCTTTACTAGATACTCATGTGTGCATTTAGAAATACATGGGAGAGAAAGCCTGCTTTGCATTTTATCACCAAAACTCAAAGACATAACAAAAAAGAACCATGATAGGAAAGTGGCCTAAATAACAGTCTTAGGGCATCCAAACTGATGCTATTTACTCTGCTCTCTACTCTGTTTTTACCCCTAAGTATTTTGAAGTGCTATTATCACAGGCATTGCTATCTCTTCAAGTAAAATAAATTACTGTAGTATACCCATTACCATTAGAAGATTTGAAGTAATATGCCTAAGCAATGTTTAATACTGGGGGGAGCAGAAATCTAACCTGCAAAAGTAGTTTACAAAGACCTATCTAACCACAAACCTTTACTTGACAGAGGCTGTTTTACCAATTTAATTGCCCTCCCTCCGTCCCAATATCTCCGAGTGTTGTTGCTGTACCTAAATCCTGTTCTACTGAACTCATGGCACCTGCGAGGCACTGTGCCGGAGAACAGAGAGAAGGACAAGGAGAAGAAAGAGAAGAAGCGGGGTTGCTCCTAGCCCCTCCGCCCTGTGGCTCCCTGCAGGGAGGTGACACCGGTGCTTTCTGCCTCCGCTGCCTCATGACAGAAACTTCCTGCACGGCGACAAGGCGAGCCAGGACCCGCATGAGCCTCCCCCGCCCCCGACCCGCCCCTCACCCGCCCCTCTGGGCTGTGCCCGTCCCGCGGTACCTCGGAGCCGGGGGAACTCGCGCTCCCGGAGGCCGGGCAGGCCGCCGCCGTACCCATACCCATACTCGTACCCGGCGGGGCAGGCGGCCCGGAAGGCACGGAAGGAAAGCAGGTCCCCCAGCGGAGCCCCGGCCATGCTAAGGGCTGCAGGCGAGAAGAGGGGCAGAGAAAGTCTGACTAAAGCACCAGCTCGACTCTGCTGGGCACGGAGCCTCCCGGCCGGTAGCTCTGCAGGCAGGCACTGCGGCCGGCCCCGCACAGCCCGGTCCGACCCGGCCCTGCCGGCCTCGCTCCTCCCGCCTCCCGCCCCCGCCGGGTTGCCCGTGCTCCGCCTGCCCGCCCTGCCCCGGGCGCGGCGGCACAGTGCGGTGCTGGAGCCGGACAGGGACCGCTGTGCGCCGGGGGCAGCTGGGCCGGTAGCCGCTCCCGAGCAGGCAGGCGGCGGGTACGGGGTGCTCTGCCTGGACGGGCCGAGAGCAGGGCCTGGACCGGTCATAGAATCATGGAATGGTTTCGGTTGGACGGGACCTTAAGTTCTAACCCCCCTGCCATGGGCAGGGACACCTGTTGCTCAAGAACCCGTCAAACCTGGCTTTGAACACTGCTTCTCTATTTCAACACCCTGACAGTAAAGAATTTGCCCTGCGCCAGCCAGCGGCCACCCGGCAGCAGTCATCTAGAGCAGGACAGCCATGCAGGCAAGACCCCCACGGACCCAAGCAGAGCCAGTCCTACATGAAGTTTCTGGAAGCACACAAACACCAGGTTTGTGTTCACAGTAACAAGAGTGCCTCTGCTCGCATCCTCTCCTACTGAGGCACGCTGTTTAAAATAGCAATAGCTCATGAAAATCTCTCTTCCCTAAAATTTTCAAATTCAGTGTTCAAATTTTCCTTATGTCCCCTAGATGATGCTATCCATTGTTAGGTAGTGGAAGTCATTCTCTCACACCTTGCATTTGGTTTGTGACACCTATATCAGGCTTAACTGGCTCTGCTGCCCATAGATGCTATGTGGTTAGTGCACAGGACCGTGGCTGGCCAGAGGCCTAGGGGCTGTTATGGGCTGGTCATCAGGTGTAGAGAGAATGGCAGCCACCCATGTAGCATAAACTATAACCATAAATATACAGAAAACATCATAGACAAAGGAATGTTTTTTTTGTGGGGGGAGGGTTGGTATTTGTTTTGCTGGGTTTATATATTAAAAAAAAATAAAAAATAATCCAGACATAGTATTTGCGAGGGATTTTTCTGCTCACAGCTCTACGATGTGCAGAATGTTAAATGACCCCCCAGTCCAATACTGAAATAGAACTGCATGTGTTAGGATGGATCTGCATCAAAATTCTGGTGAGGCAGATTCTTTTGTTAGATTGTTTGAAAGACTATAACTTGGTCATCAGTGAAATGGGAAACTACCAGAAAATACTTCATCCCAAATTGAACCATAAAGATTTTCAGTTACAAAGCAGTACTGAATGAAAGCCATGTAGAAAATTAAAAAATAAGCCTGACATGAAATACTCCCTACTTTATATATCAGGAGATTTTGCCCAGTTAAACATATTGCCCTGGCTCCAGGGTGCTGAGGAGTATTTCTGTAATGCTATAAGAGTATGTTTGTCCCTGACTCCCAACTCATGCTTGGGGCAGGTACGTAATACTGCATCTCACTCCCTGACATAGCAGTATATTTTTTGGCCTAGTTGATGATCTCACCAAAACTAGGTACCAAATGAACTGTACCTTACGCATTTCCCTCCAGATGAAAACACCTCTGTTGAAAAATAACAGTTGCCATCAAGTGGAGGAATGTTTTTTTTAGCTGAATCTCCTGAAGTCACTTTTAAAAAAATGACTAGAACCCTGCACCAAATACATTTTTTTATTTTAATGATTTGTGCATTGCAAATTAGAAAGGCCTATGCCATCACTGTGTTTTTGTTTTTACTGCAAGTATATGTAGAAAATGCCATGAATTTTCCTCATAGTTCTAGCTTCCTGTTATCGATTTCCAAAGTAATTTATTTATATTTATCACTGCACATATTTCCCTCACCATTTTCATATTTTATGTCAAATAGTTATTTTTATTTCCTCATTGAACCAAGACTAGTTTTCCCCATGAAGAGTCTTTTTTCTTGATGACAGAATGAAGCTTCCTGATTTTACAATAATCATAAAGATTTAATTTCCTTTCACATTTTTTATATAAAATGATTCTTTGCAATCAACTTCCATTTTTCTTCATTCCTTCCTGATTTTGGAAGATTAGCCCTTTGGAAACAACATGTGCATGGATATAGTGCTAATTGGGAATGTACTCTGTACTTTGCATGTAACCTGGAGATCACTGATCATTGGGGAGTCACCGATTTCTAACACAGGGCCATCATAAAAGCCCAAGAGAACCTTCTGAATAACAAGAGGCATTAAAGTCAATCTGTGCCAGTATGGAAGTTTGAAGATTGAAAATTGTCAGTATGTGTTTGAAAATTAGCATGACTTGTAAAAACTAACTAGGTTTTACTGCTGACTGAGGTAAAAGCTCGAGATTTCATGGAATTTCTTCCATTTTTTCTGTCTGCACATTAGGGATTTGTAGTTACAGAGTAACTTTTCCTCTTCTATGGTTATTAAGGGGAGCCAGGAGATCAGCCCATGTAAGCACATTAAATTATATACACTCATGGACAGTTATGCCTGGAGAGTCATGTTCACAAAACTATAAAGTGATAAAATGCTGTAAGTGAAAGGATTACTGTGCACATGCACCAGACACACAAATTGCGTGCATTAAACTCCCCCTTCCCCAGCCCATGCACACACACAGAATTTTGCAGGTTTTTTCCTTAATGGAGGCTCAGTAATAGAAACAGAGCAATTTAACTTGCTCTTTCCAAGTTTTAGCAGAGTGAAATAATGCCGCTAGGTAATCTAGTTAAGTAGGTTTCTTGATTCATAAATGTTAATGTGTAATGCTGCCATTCCTTGGAAAATGTTACAAAATAGGAAAAGGTTTTTTAATCCCTTCACTGCAGTGTGACAGTGTTTCTTTTATTTTCTCTAGCAACTATTCAAAAGCACTATAAAACAATACACTTCTCTATAACAACTAAAAAACAATACACTTCTCTATAAAGGGGTTGCACTGTTCTCTTGCAGCTCTACAGAAGAGCAGTGAGACTGCAGTATTGGTTCTTTGGGGTCTATTTCAATGCAAGTAATAAGCCATCATCATAACACAACTACATGGTGGTAAGGATAGAGAAAATGGTGCTTGTTGGAAGGGCAGAAGACTATGGACACAAGCTGGAACAAGGAAAATTCTGAATAGATACTTTACCAAGAAAATAAATTCCCATGAAAGTGATCAAATACTGGAGCATATTCCTTCGAAAGGCTGTGGAGGGTCCATCCTTAGGGAGATTCAGAACCCACTAGGACATCTCTCTAAGCAATCTGCTCCAGCTGAAGCTGCTTTGAGAAGGAGGCTGGACAGACATCAAGGGGTCCTTTCCAACCTCTTGGTTCTATAATAATTAATTCTGATGATCAGCAAAATATTTCTGAGCAATTAATGTTTGACTGTTAGCACCAGCTCTCAGATAGCTTGGCAAACAAGAAAAGGTTGTCCTAAGGCAGGAACATGGATTGCATAACCTTTCTCTGTCCCCTCCAGCACACTTTGTAACTATTTCTAATACATCCTACCTATATATAAACCAACTGAACAGTACTGGATGCAGGCAGAATCTCTACCAGTGGCAAATATGCAATAAAGGTGATTCTGCTCAAAGAGAAAAAAAAACAATACCCTATTTGGCTTATTAGATAAAGCAAAGGATTATTCATATTGTCCAAATTATTTAAAAAACAGAGCTACAGAATAGTTGAGATTGAAAGGGACCTCTAGAGGTCACCTATTCCAACCCCTTACCAGTCCCTTTATTTGTGGTTACTCACCATTCTGCCAAGGATCTACAGTAACAATCACATCTTTTATAATGATAACAGCAATTGACAGCTACTATACAAAAACCATTGCACTTCACAATAAACCTAGTTATCACCAACTTCCAGTTCTGAACCCTGTCACATCAGCTTGCTTTACCATTGCATGACTAGCACAAGACACACCTTACAGCCTCCCCTTTGGTAAAGTGACAAGGCTAGTATAAAATGCATAGACTGATGCTGTAGAAAGCCATGAACTTGGGCTTTATCTCTGCCATTGGTCTACTGTATGAGCAGGAGAGGTTATCCCTTCCCTGTAGTAGCCTTAAGTATACATTAATGAAATCTTGGACCTTATGGACATGATTGGATATTGTATTAAAGGGTTAAACAGTTTGGAATTACTTAACACAAAGCATGCAGAATATTAAGAACCAATATCATGCAGTAGATGTGAAAACTGCAAGAAGGATCTTGGAAAGAAGCGGTTTTGCTCTCGAGCAGAATTTTTGCTAGCAGAAAGGGAGATTCTGCTGTGATCCTCCACTGACACTGAAAGCATTAGTGGAAATGAATGCCACAGCTATTAAATCATTGCACAGAGGTCGGCACAAGCACAGTGTGCACACATTGCTCTTGTCTCTAATTAGTTAACTGATCTGAAAAGATGTGCAGTATCAGAAACTCTAATGCAGTTGCTTACCGACTGTAAAAAGTTATTTATTGACTATACAGAAAACTTCATCTAATTCACCAGATGTTTACAATTAGTTACAAGAAATCTACTTCTTATATGGAGTCTACTTCTTATATGGACCTTTGAACCTACCAATTATAAAAAGCTTCTAGAGCATGTATGACAAAAGTCAAGATTACAAATCCTAGTTTATCCCTGTGAACATTAAAAAACCCAAACCAGCTTTTTCTATACACAAGAAAAAAAAAAACAACAAAAACACCTAAACCCAACAAACTCATATTTTCCCACTGACATCCAATATTCTGTTTTGGACATGGATCATTGTCTTTAGTAATGAAAATAGCCATATTTCTCCCCAGAATTAGGGCTTATCACTGTGAACTGTTTAGACTGTTGATGTGTGGTGATCTACTTGGGAAAACAAAAAAAAAAGTGCCCTTGACACACATGAGCCCTCAGCAATTATTCTCCATAAGCATAACCAAACATGAAAATATAGTTTTGGTGGTGTAAGTGGAAGGAGGCTATTGATTCAAATCACAGAATATGCCTTGGCACTCAAAGGACTAACTCCAGCTTTTGGTTGGCAAGTGCATTGCCATGGACTTCAGTGGGACTTGAGATTTGCTCCTATATAACTTATTAGCAGAAGAATCACAGAGAGACAGCTGTCCCTGTTTGCTGGCTTGCTGTGTGTCCTCCAACGCTGTTCGGGCTGTGACTAATGGCACCCATTAGGTGCTTAGTGCCTCCTCTATAGCTGATGTGAAGCATTTTAGGAAGGGAATGTTAGAGCAGACAGGAAAGCAACCCCCTCACACTCCTGCAGGGTACAGTTATAAAGATGCAGCCCCAGTAAAGTCATAACCCTCTAAACCTCTGCATCCTCCAGCCCACTG